ATGTCCATCTCATTACTCGATTACATGGATGAAGAATAACAAAGGAATAATACAAATTTTTAATCAACGCCTAGTATGAAAATTTTTAGTATTTAAGTTAAATCAAACAATTATTGGAAATCCAAGCTCATCCTATCACACTGTTAATTTGGATTTTCATAACCTTATCATATTAATCATACGACTAAATCTTAATAGCTAACCTCGTATGCCACGTATACATTTCAAGAATGTGTAATGTCCCGTTGCGCGTCGATCGATTTAGTCACGAGTGACAAATGTGGTGCGTGTCCAGAACCACATTGCACTTGCCATGCGGTCGTGGCTTGAGGCGCGAAGTGAGTCGGAGCTCGTCGTTTTGCTTTGTTGCGTAAGCATGGCTTGTCCGTGCACTTTCGCGTTGATTGGTTACGACAAACGCTGTCACTTAGTACACGACCTGTGGATAAAGGTCGAAGGGTCTCTCCGTGATTGATTAGAATCTTTGATTCCATCTCACGCATCATTCTCTTTATTAGCCTTCTATCCTACGGCTAACAAGCACCTGACACCAACGTTGACGACAAAACTCTCGAGGACAATGCTTCATCACCTACTGCTGGGCCCACAATTTACCAATCATAAAGAAGGTGGGTGACGGGTATCGAAATACGCGTAGGAAAACCATATTTGCCCTCTCAAAGTATCAAGAACACGGTCACGTTTCTACGCTCGTTTCCGTTCCCCACTTCGTTTCCGCTGTTCTCTATTTATGCCAACCACCAAAAAGCACGATGTTCGATCTCCGTCTTCCACCAATCGCCAATGGTTTCCCACAAAACCCCTCGTATCTTTTATTGCCTCATCGTCTTCTTCGCGTGTTACGTTTCCCCTTCCTTCTCCCGCGTTTCCCTCTCCGTGTCCCCGACGACCCTCACCCGGGCCAACCGCACCGTCACCGTGCGGTGGTCCGGCGTCGACTCGCCGTCGGATCTGGACTGGCTCGGCGTCTACTCCCCGCCGGACTCCGCTAACGACGAGTTCATCGGCTACGTCTTCCTCAACGCCTCCGACGGCTGGCGCTCCGGTTCCGGCTCCGTCGATATCCCCCTCGTAAACCTCCGCGCCAATTACGCCTTCCGCGTCTTCCGATGGAAGCGCGAGGAGGTCAACTACCGCCACCACGACCACGACCACAACCCGCTTCCAGGGACCCGCCACCGCCTGGCCGTCTCGGAGGAGGTCCGGTTCGAGACCGCAGCGGGGCCGGACCAGATCCACCTCTCCTTCACGGACCGGGAGGACGAGATGCGGGTGATGTTCGTGACGGCGGACGGGGCGGAGAGCTTCGTGAGCTATGGGCTGGACGCGGCGCGGTTGGATCATATCGCGGCGACGGCGGTGAGGAGGTATGAGAGGAAAGACATGTGTGATTTCCCTGCGAATTCAAGCATCGGGTGGAGGGATCCCGGATCCATACATGATGGCGTTATGAAGAATTTGGAGAAGGGGAAGAAGTATTACTACACGGTAAGGCGAACTTGTGGTTCAAAATTTGTTCTTCTGTGCAATTTATGGTATTATTAGTCTCTTTTTTGTATGTTTGTGATAATTTAGTTATCGTATTTATTGAATCAATGTTGGGGATCAAGGAAAATGATTCAGATGCAATCAAATTATTGCACTTGATGTCCTCTCTTTTGGGTTCAGAATTATTTGCTCAATGGATCGGTTAGGATTCTAGGGTTCATTGATTGTTGAATCTTTCCAAGATACCTGTAGAGTTGTGATGGATAGAAGTGAAGCGAAGGAATATAAATTTCACTTAGAGAGTGTTTGATTGATAGATATACAAACATCAGCCATGGCATGATGAAAGCTCATGGCTTTGGGAGTGAAGGTATAGAATCAGGTGCTCATCTGTTGCTGTTAATTGTCCAGATAAAGGCTTCAGTTTATTTTTTATTCATCAAATAGTTGCTTCTGGCTGCAGTCCACCAGAAACCGATATTGGTCTTTGTACCTTAATTTGATGAAATTTGTCGAGTTTGCTTTACTTGTGTTATTTCTCTATGTGCCTTCATTGCGTGCTTTCAGTATCGACCCTTATTGTTCTCATAATTTGAGAATATACAGAGCTAAAGTATTTAACGGATTCTTTCGATGGTTATTTTCTTCCTTTGTTTCTTTTTATGTCCTGTAATTCTTTTGCTATTGAGATATATCAGAGTCTAAATTCTAAGCTACACTTGTAATGGTTGTGTACCTCGCAATAAGTATCAAACACCCCCCCTCTCTTGGAATGCTTCTTCCAAAATGCTTGTTTGTCAGCTGTGCCTAGATGCAACATTGATTTAAGCATTAAAGATGGTGTCATATCCTTATCCTGTATTACCATGAACACAATATTTTAATTAAGGAAAACTGATGCTTGATTACCAAGATCCTAGTGCTTTTCTGCTACTTTTGTTTTATTCTCCTTATTAGTTAATTAGGATATTATGTTTAGCTAAATATCAGGAGAAGAAAACAAAACCTTGCTTAGTCTCTCTTCACATATTGGCTTTAACAAAATATTCTTAACTAATTAGTGCTTCTAATTCTCTTTTCACAGGTTGGCAGTGATGCAGGAGGTTGGAGTCCAATCCATAGCTTTATATCTCGCGACAGTGATTCAAATGAGACAATAGCCTTTCTGTTTGGAGACATGGGAACTTACACTCCATATGCGACCTTCTACCGCATACAAGAGGAGAGCAGATCGACTGTGAAGTGGATTCTTCGTGACATTGAATCCCTCGGTGACAAGCCTATCTTTGTTTCTCACATTGGGGACATCAGCTACGCCAGAGGCTTTGCCTGGATATGGGATGAGTTCTTCAATCAGATTGAGCCTATAGCTTCTAGGATCCCCTACCATGTGTGCATAGGCAACCATGAGTATGACTGGCCAACACAACCTTGGCGACCAGAATGGTCCTATGGTGTATATGGAAAGGATGGTGGAGGTGAATGTGGTGTTCCATACAGCATCAGATTCAAAATGCCTGGGAATTCTTCATTTCCAACAGGGACTGGAGCACCAGACACTCAGAACCTTTACTTTTCGTTCGATGCTGGTGTTGTACATTTTCTCTATATATCAACTGAAACCAATTTCCTCCGAGGCAGTGACCAGTACAACTTCATAAAGGCTGATTTGGAGAGCGTTGACAGAAACAAAACACCTTTTGTTGTTGTCCAAGGCCATCGTCCCATGTACACAAGTAGTAATGAGCTAAGGGATGCTCCAATGAGGGAGAGAATGCTTGAGAACCTGGAACCCCTCTTGGTGCAGAACAATGTAACCCTTGCTTTATGGGGCCATGTTCATAGGTATGAGAGGTTCTGCCCTCTGAAAAACTTCAGATGTGCGGATGTGACATCCAACTTTACATCCATTGGTGGCGCACCAGTGCACCTTGTAATCGGAATGGGAGGGCAAGATTGGCAGCCAATCTGGGAGCCGAGGCCTGATCATACTGATGTTCCAATCTATCCTCAACCTGAAAGATCTATGTATCGGGGTGGTGAGTTTGGCTATACACGGCTTGTTGCTACCAGGGAGAAGTTAACTCTGAGCTACATTGGAAACCACGATGGACAAGTACATGATATGGTGGAAATTTTATCTGGCCAAATTCTGAAGAGTGTCAATGACGATGAAAAAATTCTGGAAAGTGGTGGCGATGGTGTGCTTGTGGTGTCTGTTTTCCCATGGTATGTGAAAGCCACAAGTGTGTTGGTTGTGGGCATCCTTGTGGGATATGTTCTCGGTCTTATAACTCGTTGCAAGAGGGATTCAGTAGAACGTTCTCAATGGACTCCTGTGAAGAGCGAAGAGATGTGAAGTCTTAGAATGAAGAATTAGTAGAACTCTGCAGCATCAAAAACATTGAAAGGTTTGATTTGTGTTACTCACCTGGATCAATAGAGAATTCATAATTGCTTGTCGAGGTAAATTATGTGAAGCTGGAGTTTCTGTACAACCGCCCCCATGTATGCATCTGCCAAAGAGCTGCCTTCTGGTACCTTTCATCTTTAGGGTGTGCTGTAAGACATTCAAGTTCTAGAGATGTATGTACTGCATCTATAAAACATTTTATGGCTTATTATGTAATGGTGATTCGGATTCATCTCACGGTATATATTGCTGTTTTTGGATCTTAAAGAAATGAAAGTGGTTTAGCCTTCACATGATTTTGTGATTTGTTAACATATATGTATTTTACATGTATGAACTTGAACAATGTTCTTTCCTGCTCTCATCGGTATGTTTAGTGGGTTCAACTTAAGCATTATATTGGCTCCTGTTATTTGTGAACTTTAAACGGTTGATATCTATCAAGAGTTACCATTGACAGTCATAACTTGATGTATAAAATCACCATTATATAGGATTGGCTAAGATTGTTCCTTTGTCATATAAGTGATCATAATCTCCCTACTTGTAATATGAACTGACTCAGTGGTATCAAGCGTTACAAAGAGTATGATCAATAATCAAATCATATTTTTGGTGAAATACATAAAATATATGAATAGGAAAAGAACCATGATTTTTTTTTAGGTATAAAATGATAATTTGGAGATCCTCTACAATGTGTCATAATAATTGTTATAAATAAGATAGTATTTGATCGTTTTTCCAGCCCTGAATTGAAATGTTTGATTCAATGCCTTCTCTCCTCCAACATTAACCTTCTTGGGTACTCGGGGCTCTGAAAAGTCAACACCGGATGAATCACCCGTTAAACTGTCAGGTGTGATGTCGGCTCTCAGAATCCTGGAAACATCAGCCTTGACAAGTTTCGCCGGCGATTCAACCAAGCTGATAGGCGGGGGATCGTTCATGGGTGACGTGGTCCAACTGGTCCACGTAACTCCGGGGTCCACCTTCACATCACGGTGCACATTCTGCTTTGGGTTCAGCGATGTGAGCTAAGAATTCCTCGTACTCTGCGTACCATGAGATTCTTCTCTCGCTCGCTAGATCCATCGCTGTCTGTCGCTCACCGCCCGCCTCTCCTTGCCTCGTTCCCCCAAGCCCTAGCAATGGCGATACGTAAGCTCCTCACTCTCTCTCGCCGCCCCTTCCTCCTCTCTAGCCGATCCGCCTCCACCTCCGCCGCTGCCGCCCTCGCCTCCCCGGACCCCGCCTCCTCCCCGGCCAAGCCCCCGGTGATGCTCTACGATCGCCTCTCCGAGGCCGTCCGATCCAAGATCAAGCGCCTCGACGACCCTGACCCCCGGTTCCTCCGCTACGCCTCCCCCCACGCTGCCCTCGTTGACCATACCCCCATCCTGGCCGCCCCGGAGACCCGCATCACCACCCTCCCCAACGGCCTCCGCATCGCCACCGAGTCCACCCTCGCCTCCCGTACAGCCACCGTCGGCGTGTGGATCGATGCCGGGAGCCGATTCGAGACCGATGAGACTAACGGGACCGCGCACTTCTTGGAGCACATGATCTTCAAGGGCACAGAGTCGCGGACGGTGCGGCAGCTGGAGGAGGAGATCGAGAACATGGGGGGTCATCTGAATGCTTACACATCGAGGGAGCAGACCACCTACTACGCCAAGGTGTTGGATAATGATGTGCCCAAGGCGCTGGAGATCCTTGCGGACATACTTCAGAACTCTTGCTTTGATGACAAGCGCATTGAGAGGGAGCGGGATGTCATCCTCAGAGAGATGGAAGAGGTAAAAGTTTATAATTTTCACCTCTTTAGTCATGTGAAAAAATAACTTTCTTGGAAATATTCACACCAACGTCATCATTACCTCACAATTATTTTTAAGCTAAATTTGGTTGTTTACTGTCTCTAGCAGCCCAATTGTTGTGCTCTCTAAGTTTAATTTGGACTGGAAATTTTAACATTTAAAAAGATAGGGTGGAAGGGAGGGATGGGGAGGATGATGATGATAAGTGAATGGACCCGTCAAACAAGGTGGCTAAAGTTCCTCCAGTAAATTAACCAGTTCATCTCGAAGTTTGAGAAATTATATACTTGGTTAACAGCCATTGAGAAAGCAATAATATTTTTCAGTTATATTGCTTTATCATGTTCTAATTTGGCAATGTTGGGGGTGAAAGCATCTTATCTTTGACATTATAGATAATGCATCTAAAAGAATTACTGATAATTGAGGATCTCTCTGATCATGGCTGCCGACGACTAGTGATAATTTGTGCTTGGTGTTAGAATTAAGTGGGGTGAGTAGCAGGATCGTTAAGTGCAGTTTTATGCTCTTTTAGTTCAAGTTGAAATTCTGTTATGAGTTCCTTTCTTCCTGGTGCTCTTTTTATTTTTATTTTTATTTTTCTGGTTCCCTTTGATCAGGTAAATATTTCTATTTTCTTATGGACAGGATTTGCAACTGCATACTGGAATTGAAGATCCTCATAGGTTAAAAGAATTCTTTTATGCTGTTATCAAGTAAAATGCATTTTAAACTTATTGTTAACCTAAATTTGTGCTTTTGACATCATGTCAAACACTTAGTTTAGGAAAACCTCAATGTACTGTTGTTGATTACTAATGGATAAATATTTGATGGTCCTACTTATTGTTAACATTTCTCTCTCTCTTGTAGGTGGAGGGACATACCGAGGAAGTTATTTTTGACCATTTGCATGCGACTGCTTTCCAGTATGCACCGCTTGGCAGAACTATTCTAGGACCTGCTCAGAACATTAAGACAATTACTAAAGAGCATCTTAAAAACTACATAGCAACTCATTATACAGCCCCCAGAATGGTGTGTTTTTTGGCTAGATTAAGTTGTCATTCTTGGCTTTCTATATGTTCACTGGTTTAGTCTAACCTTGCTGCCTACATGTTTTATGATCATCCCGGATTTAGTTGGTGTAGATTTAATTATTAACATAAATGAGTAAATGACTACTATTTTTTGTTTATGATGATTTAGGTCATCTCAGCTGCTGGTGCTGTTAAGCATGATGATGTAGTTGAGCAGGTCAAAAAGCTGTTCACAAAGCTGTCAAATGATCCTACTACAGCATCCCAGTTGGTTGCAAAGGAACCAGCTATTTTCACTGGTTCTGAGGTGGGAATGCCAGTTTTCAATGCATGGTCATTTTCTCTTAGTCATGTTATCTTTGCACAAGATTCTTCATGTCAATTAAAGTTTGCCGTCTACAGATTAGGATGATAGATGATGATATTCCACTTGCGCAATTTGCGGTTGCATTTAGTGGAGCGTCTTGGACAGATCCAGATTCTATTGCTTTGATGGTCATGCGGTCTATGCTAGGTTCTTGGAACAAGAATGCAGGTGGTGGAAAGCACATGGGGTGGGTTGTTACTGCTCATATTGAAGCCTCAATACTATAGTTCTTTTAACTTTATATAGACTTCAATAAGATTACTTTTTAACTTCCCCTGTTTTGCCATGTATTCACCAACTCTAAGCAGTTCAGAGCTGGCTCAGAGGATTGCTATCAATGAGATTGCTGAGAGCATGATGGCCTTTAATACAAATTACAAAGATACTGGCCTCTTTGGTGTTTATGCAGTTGCCAAGGTTAGTTTCTTTTTTGTGTAATCAGAACATGTGAAATATTGAGATTCTAATGGATGTCGAGTGACAATGACTGATTCGCAAAAAGGGCCTTTTGGTAGCAATTTTTTTCTTACAAACTCAGTCCAATCTATTAGAGTTTGTCACAAATTTTATTGTTTTTGGTGATTTAAGAAATTTGGAGTATTACTTGCAGAAACTTGCTATTTCAGTGCTATTGCTTACGGATTCTTTTGTACACTAGTGATCTATAATGGTTGTATTAATTGGGCTAAATTTTGGTTCCATCAATGCAATGGGATAGGGATTCTTTTGTACACTGGCTTTTAATACAGGGAATATGCTTTCTGCCTTTGCCAGTAAAAGTTAACTTGATAGCTAACTATTTTTTTAACCTTTCATGAACAGCCAGATTGCTTGGATGATTTGGCCTATGCAATTATGTATGAGATAAGCAAGCTGTCCTACAGAGTCTCAGAAGCTGATGTTACTCGTGCACGAAATCAGGTAATTAAGTGACAGATATGCTTTATCTGTTCCTTTTTGTTGATATTGCAGAAATTCTGTATCGTCTGTTCTGTAAAACATAGAAAATGACAAAACAAGTAGATATTCTCAATATGGAAATGTGAAAGATTCAGCTTTCAGATGAAACTATCTTATTAGTTCCTTCGCGGCTTGTATGTTGCTTGCAACAGCTCATCAGTGCAGTTAATATAATTCATGATAAGGCAAATCTTCCATGAAACTGGACAAACAATAGCTATTTTGTGAGACATGAATTATTGTTACTTGCAAAATTTGGTTGATTCTGAGGTTGAAGTAAAGAGCAGCATGGCGTTTATTGAATTTATGAGCTAGTTATAAGCTGCAACTAATTAATCAATTTTTACAGCTCAAATCTTCCCTTCAACTTCACATTGATGGTACCAGCCCTGTTGCTGAGGATATCGGCCGTCAGGTAATGAAACAGACATTTACATCTGAACAACATGCTTGTTCAGTCGCATTAATTCCAAAGCTTCTACCTTGCTCTTTTTCATACCTCATATTGCTACTATTTTTTTTTGTTTGCAGATACTTACATACGGCCGTAGAGTACCAGTCACTGAACTTTTTGCGAGGATCGATGCAGTTGATGCAAGCACTGTTAAGCGTGTCGCTAATCGCTTCATATTTGATCAGGTAAATCCTTACCTTCCCCATTCATTAAGAGATGAATTATGAATAGATTCACAAGCCAGAGGGATGCAGGACATTGACCTTCCACATATTAAGTGGTTGGATTACACTGTGTGCCACCTTGACCTTGCAGGACGTCGCAATTGCAGCCATGGGGCCCATACAGAGCCTTCCAGATTACAACTGGTTCCGGCGCCGCACCTATCTGCTCCGCTATTAATTTTTTTTCTAGATCTTCTAAATGTGTTCTTCCTTGTCCCTTAATCTTTCTTATGCTGGTAGCGATCGTGCTGACTACCAATGAAAGCTCGAGATGTTTTAAAAGGTTTTGCTTTTTGCTTTTGTTCCACACATGTTTCTGTTGGATCCTTTCAGATTAAATAATGAAATCTAGATACATGAATTATTTTTTTGCCAATAAAATCTATTCACGCCTTTGTTTTAGTATGCATGTTTTAAGTGTTCTTTTCGGAATAATTATATGACCTCCTATAGATAATTATGATTAGTATTTTAATTTTTATATTTTAAAAAATAGCATTGGATATTTACACTTACGAATGTAAAATATTTAATCTTAATTTTTCTTACGTCGTTAATTTTTTCCAATGAAGAGAATAAAAACATAATTTTTATTTTTTAATTATTAAATATATTTTTTAAATATATATTCTAATCGTTCTTTCTCCTTTCCTCTTTCCTACCTGCACTATTGATCATCGTCGTTCCTACATCGCTCATCGTTTCTCTTGTATTGCTCATCGCCATTACACTAGACTCGTTCGACCATTGTTGCTCCTGCATTGCTCATTGTCGATCTAGTCTAGTGTAACGACGACAAATGGTGCAATGGCAATCAAGAATAAAGTCCGCGTCGGAAAGAGAGAAGGAGAAAGAACTATTATGATATTTTAAAGAATATATATTTAATAATTAAAAAGATAAATTATATTTTTTATCTTCCTCGTTCGTATCCCTTTTGCACGCGTGATTTTTCCGTCGAAAAAATTAAGAAGAAGAATGGGGGTTAAATTAACGACAGAATGTTAATCATAGTTAATCGGGCGACTTAACTGTTTTGCTGACAGGTTCCAGTAATTGCACAGCGGAATGTTTAGAGACCGGAATGTTTTCTGATGAAGATGATGCGATATTAATCCGGCGACTTACTGTTTTGCTGACAGGTTCCAATAATTGCACAGCGGAGAAAGAGATCGACGCTTTTGTGCACAGGTACGCATAATGCTTGGCTCTCTCTCTCTCTCTCTCTCTCTCTTAAAGCATGCAGAGTTCCTACGTTCCTCCTCCTTATCATTCCCTCGATTGAGGTGCTAAGACTTCTCTGACAGAAACCTCATCCTCCATGGCGGTCAGTCGCCACCTTCCTCCTCCTTCAGGTCGGCCGGCGGCAGGAAGCACTCCATGGACAGCCCCCACAGGTTGAAGTCCACCTCCTCGATGGTCCAAGTCTCCTCCATCTTCCTCTTGTGGTTCACCGACCCCTCCCCGTACCGGAACAGCGTGACCATGGTCCGACCCGCGTGCGCGATCTTGACGCCGTCGACGTAGCGGTAGTCGCGGATAGCCGACTCCATGCTCGTCTCCCAGAAGATGCTCTTGCTCTGCCCTCGTCGTCCGGCCTTCATGCGCAGGAGATGGGTGTCCGCCAGCTGGACGAGGAGGCCGGTGCGCTGGCTGAAGTATCCCCATATGGTGTGGTGGATGATGTCGAAAGTGTCGGCGCTCCGGGCTCTCAGGGTCGCTGGGTTCGACTCCAACTTCAGGATGAAGCACTCCTCGCCATCGATGACCTTCTCACCAATGCAGACCGCGTCCGAGAAGAGGGTGGCCGTTGACCTTGGATCCAAGCCCTGCAGAGAACATTAACACAAGGGGAAACCGATTTAGATCCAGTCGCGCAATCTTTTCTCTTGGGTTGACTGTGAGCGAGGAGAATACTTGTAGGGATCGGCGCAATGGCCGCGGCGGGCCTCGAGAAGCATGCGATTGCTCCGAAGCCGACTGCCTCCACGCCACCTTGCCGTCGCTGCCGGCGCTCATCTTGCTGCCCGCCATGATGAGCTCGAAGTACCAGACGCCGGGGTTCTTTTGCCATAACACGTACCCTCCGATCTCGCCTTTCCTCTTGGCGGCCACGGTCTGGTTTCCGACGTGGAATTCCGACGCACTCATCTGCAGCTTGCCCACAGCGTACATGCTGCTCACCGACGCCAACGCCGTCTGCCCTCCGGTGGCTGCAATGTACTGCTGGATGATGTACTTGGCAGTCGATGCTTGCTTTAGAAACAGGACAACATCCGTCACAACGTGTCAATTTAATGCTAACGGATGAAGCATATATATATATATATATATATATATATATATATATATATATATATAATTCTAGATAGGGCTAATTATTTATTATCCTGATAGTTAATTACATTAAGTATTTCGATCTTTATATTTTAAAAAATTATATTTTTATCTAGAGTGAAATATATGGTTCATTTACCTTAATAATGTTAGTTTTATCAATAAAAATATAAAAATAAAAGGTAAAAATATAATTTTAATATCATAGTTGATGGTGACGAACAACATCAGTGGTGATGGACGTCGACACTACTATGGGTCACAGATGGTTGTTGTGAATAAGGAGAGCATCAACAAGAAATGAGGACTGCTCTACATTTACGTCAACATTGACATAGTTGTCAAGCGGCCCTTTTGCCGTTCTACATCTGCATTAACGTCAACTCATATACAAAGTGACCCTTATCTTTCATCGTCATTCTCTTCATTCACAACAGTCACCTATGGCCTCAAATGATATCGTTGTTCATCACTATCAACAAAAATATTAAAATTATCTTTTTATTTTTTATTTTCATATTTTTATTAATAAAATCGATAGTACTAGTGTAATAGACTTAGATATTTTACTTTCGTAATTATTGACATATTAATATAATTTTTTAAAGTACTTAGATACAATTAGGTAGCTAACTAAATATAGCTAACTAAGTAGGGTAAGATATAATTAGCCCTACTCAGATACAATAATAAAATTAGGTAACATTAAAAGCTCGTCACCTAAAAAATAAAAAGATAAGCAAACAAAGCTTAGGCGGTCGATACTTATCCATTTATAATCTACGTATCAACATGGAACATGTGATGTACATGTAGAGAGAGAGAGAGAGAGTCTTACAATGGAGCAATCCCGAATCTGAATGGAGAGGTTGAAGGGGTGATCGAGGGGAACGGGGCAGGGGATGAGGGGCGAGCTGACGACGTTGAGGAGGAGCTGCAGTTCGACGGTGCGGCTGGACAGCTGAGCGGGGGCGGCGGCCTTGTCGAAGGCCTGCGCCTCGAGCCAGGTCCTCATGTTGCGCCACCGGGCGGCGCCGGTGCCCGCGCTGGCGAACATTTCTTCCGGGATCGGGACCTCGAGGACGGTGTCGAGGCCATCTTCGCGATCGAGGTTTGGGCACAGTTTTCTCATCAGACTGGACCAGTGACGGGTGGGGTGTGGATGGATGCCAAAGAACTCAGGAGATGGAAATGGAGATGAACGGAGAGAGAGGGCTCAGGGAAGGATCCACCTTCCCTCCACCCTTGCTATTGCTTCGTCGAAGGAATGCACGGGACGGGGACGAGGACGAGGAGGAGAAAAGAAGAAGAGTGCAAGGAGAGAGAGAGAGAGAGAGAGAGAGAGGAGGGGTTGGCAGATGGCAATGGAGGAAGCGTACTCCCCGTAAAATTAGTTGTCGAGAGGTCTCATGGGCGCCTTTGCTCCCTTGACCTACTTTTGCGGTCAAAGAATGTCAAAAATTGCATATATGCAAAATGTGATTCTTATATTTATTTCCTTAATTTTTTACGTATTATATACGTATATATATAAATATACACAATCTATGTCGGTTAAATAGAGTGAAGCCAACGCCGTAGATGAAATGGCAAAAAATTTAAGGATATTTTAGGAAAAAAAAATCTATCTCAAAGGAGCCTATATTTTACTAATCATTTAAAAAGTACAACTAGTTTCAAAGCAAATTTGAATGTAACACTTTATTTATTATGTTTTGATTTGGATCAATTCATGATCAAGTTGATTTGATGGATCTACGATTTCTTTTGTCAGTAAAAGGGGCAGCTCAATTGCAATTTTATCTTTTGACTTAAGAGAGAAATTTCATCATAACAATTGAAACTTCCAAGTAAATAAACTTTAATTTTACCACTGGATTCTTTGAATTTTAATTACCATTTCGGTCAAATTCTATGCTCTATCATTTGCTCAGTTATCTTAATAATAAACTAAACCAATTTCATCATATCTCTTGATTTGCCAATACGGAAAAAGGAACAATCATCACAACTTCAAGTCACAAGCTTTTGCTCAATCCATGCAACGATTCCACGATAAATTTCTACCATTTATAAGAAAATAAAAGGTTTCCAGCTTTTATAAAGGTTAAAGATCTCCTAAAACAATTGGGAACACACTGCTCTTTATGCTGCACAAATATCGGTCATAAATTTCATAGGCAGACAAATATATATGAAATAGAGTGCTTCAGTAGAAGAATGTAATGAAGGGTTTCTGGGAGGATCAGCGACACCAACTGCTTCTCCAACAATGACACACAACTAAAACAGAAACTGAAACAATAAAAAATTACTTGAAACGTAGCAGCCCGTGATTACCCAGGATGACATCCCATGTCTCTAATTCAAGAATTATTTGACTGAAAAATATTGGGCATCAACGGGCGATATTGATCGGTATAAAAAAATGTCATCTTTCATGCAGGACTCTGATCAGATGATGTTGAAGTTCTTGGATCATATTACTTGCTTCGTGAGAACAAAATGCCGGCAACTACTGAGACCCCAAGGATGACCGCAGGGACTGCCAAATACTGCACCGTCTTGTTCGTGAGCATGGTGGTAAAAGCAGATGATTTTTCTTTCCGAAAAATCTCAAGCTCTGGAATAACAGTGTCTGGATCTAGCTCCCCGATATAATAATCTTGCATCAGCTCACGAGCACTTTTGCTGTGCCCAGCATCTTCAAAGTCTTCAGTCGAGTCCCTCCCTTCAAAATATTAGACATACAATTTGGTCAATAAGCAAAAAAACTTATACCTAAAGTCAGACACCATTTTATTGTCATAAAAAAGAAATTGAAAAACTGCATAATGCCTCAGATGCCTGAAGTTTAAGAAAATGGTGGCTAGGATAGATCTACATACCAGCCGCTGAGAGAAGCACATCATCTCCTCCTGGGTGCTCATCCAAATATGAAGTCACATCATACACCTGAAGTGAACAACAATGACAAATCCAAAGTTTTAAAGAAAACCAAACAATTTTCTAAATTTTCAGATGCCAAGATAGATAAAAGAGCAAGTAAATAGGTTTTTGTCCAAGTCCGGTCCTCTGTTTTGTTATCTTGGGTGCACCGGACAAACTAGTATTCAAGGAGAATATGCATACCTATGCTATGTAAACCTGTCCTAATTGTTTTGATCCCCAGCTTGAAGTTGTTCTTTTTTAGGACTCGGAAATTTTACTTGCCATTGGCATTGAGGGGCTTCACGTGAACCTTTTGCATTACTCCACATTCAAGTGTCCGATTAATTAGTTTCTGCTATCTATCAGCCATTTCAAATCAAAAGGTGAAAAAAAAAAATTGAATTGCATGCCCTACAGCAAAATGAATCTAATATCACTACAATTCCCAGAGGAAGACACCACAAGAGAAATATTGGGTAGACCAGAGTCATACAATCTAAAGATGTTTAGATTTAAGAGATGAAAACCCAAAAGTTAACAAGGAACACTAATATAATATCTGGAAACATGGTGGAATTATCATAATGCACTTATCCAACAGCAGGGGTCTAAGGCTCTTAACCCGGCTTATAATGTGATAAACTGGGCACACGATATGCTTACTTTGGCACTATAAACATCCCCTCTAAAAGGTCAAAGATCTACAGATTGCCACCAATGAGAAGTCTTAAGTACGGATGTGCATTCCTCTACTTTCTATCTTTGCTCTATTAGATCATTTTCAAAAGCTTCCCAGAACATTCATAATCTGCTTATTTGCATAAATCAAATAAAAAAAAAGGATTCACTCCATCCAAAGAACGTTAGCGAATAGTATATTCAATGGATAACCATTACCCATTACATGGATCTGTCCATGCCGAAGAAATGTGAAATGGTCCACATAACACAAACTTAGAATAAAGCAAGACAGTAAGCTTAAAAAGATGCTCTGTGCTTTGCTATTACCTGAGAGGAAAAGTCTACAAGCAATTTTCTCTCATGATATCCAAATTTAAATAATTAATACTTTAAAATGGCTTTTTTTTATAAAAGGCCAAGTTGCTAAATTTTGATGATGCTCCAAATTGTCTAACTTAAGCCCAAGCACAATAATGAGGATGAGCTCCAATTACAATTTTTTCAGGTTTCAAGCACTTATAATTAACATTGTTTCTATTTTCTAATCCACTCTTATCTTACCCCTTCTTTCCCCTTTCTTCACTTGGCTTCCCATCTGCTTTCTGCCAAGCATCAGAGCACAAAAGAGTAACAGAGACCATAAGCATCTACTACATCTGCAAAAGCATGGATAACCAATTGGCCAATTTACAGAGAACAAAAAAGATTTTACAAGGACATGAGTTTGAAGCACCTTCTCGAGTATCAAAATATTTGTGTTCTATTATCTCAGCATTTAAGCTCCTCTATTTCTTAAGGATTGAGAATGATATAAACTAAAATCTACTTCCTCGTTCTCTATTGCACTACTCAGCTTGGTCTAATTGTTGTGTTTGAAAAACGATAACACATGGTCAAGACACTCAGGTTAGGATAACGAGGCTTGAATCTGCATTGAAGGTGTGTATTCACAACATTAAGTATTGTATAATTTTGAGGCAAGTGTTAATCAATGCAAACAAGCACTGATTATTTGAGTTTTCTGAGTTAAAACAAAAGGATTAACCAGCTTCTGTATTTCTAAACATTGATAAAAGAGAATCATCAGCTTGCTGAATCAGTAAATTGAAAGTAAGGTCTTTCAGCTAGCTCCATTACAAGCTTTACCACGTATGGTACTTGTACTCTACTCCAGTAGTGTTCTAATATACTAAATACCAATAAATCCCACATGATGACATATGTTTTTATGAAGGGAGATACTACAAGCACTAAAAGAATATCAATACAAGTTTGAATAAATTGGTGATTAGCTTCAAGCTTCAATATTCTACTATTATTCTTTGGTCTCTTTTGGTAAGTGGAAGACAGTTAGGTCTGACAATCTCTGGGTGACTTATCAACTAATCATCAATACCTTAGCCAACTGGTAGGCTTGAAAAGTCATGCTGAAATATCAGCAATCGACCTCACAAGTTCATCATTGCAATTTATCCTAACCAGTTATTATCTTGGCGATATAACTGCACCTATAATAGAGGCACGTGTAGCAGCTTTAACCAGACACCCAACAATAGAAATGCTCAACCCGTATCAAGAAACAGATCATGAACATAAAAGTTTTCCTGCAGACATAAAAACCTAAAACATGGAAAGTTTGCATGTGTTTTCCACCACTAGCAACAGGCAGCAATAACACCAACGTAAAACTTGATCCAACGCCCAGGATATTTCCGCCAAGTGTGAAAAGAATTCGTTATCATGATTGAAAAGGAACAAAATTTCCTAATACGGACCCATGTCCGCTACTCCGCACAAGAACGAATATGTACAGTACAATGGAAGGGTAACAAGTACCAGACCAGTATCCATAGTTATGATTGTTCTATTCCAAGCCACAGTAACATCAATTTGCTTAAAACTCACTCTCTTACGTACCCTACTTGGAATAGGATTCACGTCAAATCCATGAACAAGCGTTCTTGTCCGAGTCGAGACTAGGGTTTGATAAAAGCATGTAATCAAAATAAACAAAGCACCGACCACACAATTCATCTGAAATCACACTTAGAATCAACCAAGTCCCTGCGTAACACCCAGCGCGTGCGTAAACAAGATGCACCAAAATGGCACCGTGGGCGAATCAAACAAAACAGAGCCTAAACGATATGCGTAAAGAAGGAGAAAGAAAGGTAGAAAAATCAGACCTTGCCGTGTATGACGACCCAGCAATCGTCCCTGGTGTTGTGCTCCGCGGCTTCTCGCATCGAATACAACTTGCTTAGGGTCGCCATCGCTCTCCCTCGCTCGCTTGCTCTTCCCAAACAACCTATTGCGAACGGGGAGAAGACAATCGACGACTTCCGCCTTCTTCCCCCCTTTCCATTCTCCTTTCTCTGCTTACCCCGCTTATTAATAGATAGCGGATCCGTTGTTGTAGCGGGTCGAGCAAGCAAGGCTTTAGTATCGGATTGGGCTGTTCGTTGCATTCTATTTGTTCGATGAGGTGGTGTGTGTGTCAGTGTGTGTGTGTATATATATATATATATATATATATATATA